AGCACCGTGAGATAAAATAATGGCTCCTCAAAGATGTCCTAATTTCCAGAGCCCGTGAAGGTAGCAGATGGAATTTTAATGAGGGAGATTATTGGAAAGAACCCAGCATAATCACAAAAGCACTTACAGGTGGAAGAGGGAGAAGTCCAGAGTGATGGCGATAAGAAGAGAACTCCATTGATCTTGGCCTACGAAGATGGAGGAATGGAGATACAAGGATTCCAGGTGGCCTCTAAAAACTGGAAAAGGCAAGGAAATGAATTCTTCCTAGAGCTTCCAAAAGAAATACAATCCTGCCAACACCTTGATTTTAGTCCAGCAAGTCCCATTTTAGACTTCTGATCTCCAGAAGTGTAAGATAATGAATTCATGCTGTTTTAAGCCACTAAATTTATGGTAGTTAGAGCAGCAGTAGGAAGCTATGCATACTGGCTATCAGTAAAAAAGACAAGTAATGTAATTTTAAGATGGTTAACACAAAATTAAACCTAGATGTCCAATAAATACAGTTAAAAACACTGAGTACCACTAGTAATCAGAGAAATCAAATTTAAATGAGATCTATTTTTGCCTATTAGATTAGCAGAAATTTTCATAGATATTATCCATCCAGTCTTCTCAAGAATCCAAGAGTCTCTTATACATTGTTGGTGATAGTCTAAATAGGAAAGATGTTTGAGAGGGAAAATCCATCAAAATTAATAAAATAATAAAGATTATTTCCTTGTGTATACCTGTATACAACTTGAATCTTTCACAGGGAGTATCTTTCCGTATCACTTGTGAAACTATTTTTCAGTGCATAAAGAAACCGAGTCCAAGGGCAATACAAAAAAACCAGCAAATGCAAAACAGAAGATGCATGTTGAGAGTGGGGAGCAGGAAGGGGGGCAGGGGGAGAGAGACAGGCATACTGCCTGCCGGATTTTAGGCTGGGGTGATAGCAACATTAGCTAGAGTTAATCATTTTCCCTCCTCGTCACACAGCTGCTCTGTCTACATCTTCTCTCACATCTATTGCCAACATTCTGTTTATTGCATCTGTCTGTGGAAGTATCTGTACCCATCACCCCCGGTCCTCTAAGGGATGTGGCTAAAAGCTCAGTCTGTTAGCCATGTCTGCACTCATGGTGCAGCTGCTGCCTGGATTAAGTACTCATCATGAAAGAGATGTTTTCCATGGACACATGTGCCCGTAACAGTCATCTTGTGGTTTTGTACACCTCCTAACAGTCTTGAAACAAGTACTTATGGTGGTGAGCATTTGGTAATGGAGGTAATTGTCAAATCACTGTCGTAAACTCAAAACTAGTATGGCAGCTATACTTCAAGTAATAATTTATATAAATAAGATTTTTTTAAATATTAAAAGTAAACTCCTTGAGCAGCATAAGTAGGTGCTCAGGCCAGGATTGGAGGTGGCTGATGTTACCAGACTTTAAACTTCTAAAAATGCATGAAGCCAGATGGGCCCACAGGTCTTCTTCCTTGCTCCCTTCTCCTTTCTTGCATGGCTGTTTCCCCAGCATGTTACCATGAACATTCAGGCAAACACCACTCAGCCGTGAGCTCCCAGTGAATAGCATGAATTTAATATTTCTGGTTTTGGAATACATAGGTGGAGGGCAGCTATCTGGTTAGGAGGTGGATGTGTCTAGTCATTGTAGACTGTTGTCCAGAAAGCGTTTATGGCTTCATTGGCCAAAACCCCCTCATTCTAGGGACAAGAAACTGATGCCTAAGAAGAAGAGTGCCTGAGCATGTTGCTATTAGTGGGGAAGCCAGGACAGAAATCTCTCCCACTTGGGGGTCAGGGATCTTTTCTGAACATCTGCCTTCTCCATGTACCTTACTTAGGTGGCATCCTTATGCTTTCCTTGGACTTTGTTACACATTAGCAGTTTAAATCTACTCTTAAGGATTCAACTTCGGACAAAATTTCCGTATTCTGGATGAGTTCAGGTCTTTAGCTAGCAGGCAGGCTTTACAAGCTGTGGCGGGGTAACCTACCACCAGTTGAGCTCTTTGTCATTAAGGGCCTTGTGAATTGCCTAGTTCAAGAACTGACCATTGGTCCACTTAGCTGGTGGCTCCAGAAAAAACTTTACCCTGTGGTGGCTTTGTAATGTGTCAGTATACATAGGCTGAACCACATTTTCCAGAATACCCGTTCTTTTATGTTTCTGGTTGGGGTGGAGCGCAGAGGAGATTCTTGTTGGAGATTTGGAGGGCCCATGTGATGTAGCAGTCCTTTTTATCACCTAAACGTTGTGCTTTTGAGCCAGCTCCCCTTGTTGGCAAGAGGCAGCAGGGGACCGGCAACTGCTGCATCTGCTCCAGATTCCTGCTTTAGCTCCTCTAACCCCGGCCTCACCTGGTGCGTGTACACAAGCCCGCCCAACCTCCCCCACCCCAAAGCCAGAGGCAACACAAGCAGACATGGTTTTAGTCTCTACTTGTGACTTCAGCTTGTTGCCTATGGTTCTAGCTTGTGGCTTTCTGTCTTTCCTGGCTACTGCTAGCCCCGAAGATTTCAAACTCCAGCTCAGGGCAAAGGTGGCCCTTAGAGACTGCCTTAGAAGCTCCTGCAATTACAGAAGTTAAACTCCTGCAAATTAATACGTATTCTGTTTCATACACACTCATCTAGTGGTTCTGCTTCTCTGGTTAAACCATGACTGCCACGCACCTGTTCCCAAGAAGCCACTGTTTTATTCACCTTACATAGCAGCTTGAACAGTTTCTGTGGGACAGTACAACTTTGGACATCCAGGATCCCATCCTCTGGAATTCTCCAACTTTCAGAATCCTTCCATACTCCTAAAGAACAGAAAATAAACTAAAAACCCCAACCCTCTTTGATGAAGCATCATTTGACACCCAACAACAACAGAATGGACCCGAGCACTGGCAGAGGAGAGAGCAGCTCCGTCCAGCAGGAGGCAGAAGAAAACTGAAAGGACAGGGATCAGAGTACAAGTGAGCCTGAGTAACAGCAGGGGCCACAGCTAGAAGCCAGGAAAGGCAATAGACCTAGATCCTGAATGGAAGAGAAAAGCTAGAACTCGCCTGAAGTTTTGGTAGTAAAAAAGCTTGTCCTAAGCAGCCCTGTGATGTCACTGTACCTCATAAGGCACTGGGTTTCTGCTAGACACTTGGAGATGCCCATCTACACCACATACACCACAGGCAGTAGGGCTGGAGTTTGGTAAAAATACCCCTTTGTCCTGGCTGCCCTGGGTACCAGTGATCCACAGTGTGTTCAGATACAAAAAAATCATTAAAGATACTCTTTCAAGGAATATTGACTTATCACCTAGACAGCGTACAAGTGACTTTCAGTATAAGTATTCAGGATATAGTTAAATGTTCCACATGCGGATTTTATTAGATGCTGAATACAAAGGAGGGCGTGGAGGAAACTACCTGAAGAGAGATCTTCGTGGTCTCCAGTAATCTTTACCTTGTAATAAGCCCTCCAGTTGTTGAAATGACTAGTTAGTGAAGAAAGAAAACAGACCTTCCAGAAAGTGCCTCTGGCCTGTGATGCTTAGGTGTTGCAAGTCATGGGAGCAATCAGGTGGTGACCTAGAAAGTGGGGAAAATATTCAACGGGAGACTGCTTCCACCTCACCTCACTGGCTGGTTGTGCCATTAGACCTGTGGCTTTGCCCAGGGGGTCACCGTGTTTTACTAATGGACTAATGGGTGAGAAACCTACAAGCAAGCTATCCTCTTGGACTTCTAAAGAAAACAGTTTTCCTGGAGTCATAGTACCACTTTACTGTGAACTTCCCCACTCCCCCTGCTCTTTCCATCTTTGTGATCCATCACAGATGGTGGTGTTCATGATTGTGGCTTTTGAGCAACAAAGTGGAGTTTCTTGTTTCTCAGTATGGTCCGTTAAGGACGACAGGCAAGTCTGTCCATATGCTTTAAGTTAGCTTCATTATTTCAGCACTTTTTTAGCTGTGATTTCCATAGTCCTTGTCTATTCCCACAGGACCCTGAACAGAGATCACACTTTTCATCTTTCTTCGTTACTGCCTGTCTCTGATTCTGTGATTCCTGTGACACCGGGTTAGCACTTGCTTCCAAGAATACTTGATGCCCCAGTGATCGAATTTTGAAATAATTCCATTGTCCTTGAAGTCGGGCTGTAAGGGTCTGAATAGCTAAGAATATCCCCTATTCTAAAAATAAGGGAATTTGGGTGAGCCTCGTTGGGGAAAAAGCATTGTGGTGGGTTTATGTTAATTAACTGGTGGGTGAGGGTTCTTGGCCCAGTTTGATGCAGGAGAGCATGTTTCTAGAGCTGATGCCTCAGAGCTTAGGTCTGTTCCCTATCGGGATTGCCTCTGGGTCTTGATCCAATCTGGGTGCCTCCCATCCGGTCAGGCCCAAGGCTCCTTCCATCTGCATCCTGTGACTCGTAGGTATACCTGCGACTCTCTGCCCACGTAAAACAGGATTCTGAACACACCGTTTCTTTCTGGATACAAATGCCAGTCTTCTGCCCTCCTCTGTTTTCCTTAAGGTTGAAAGTAGAATTTACCACTTCCTGGCCTAAAACCAAAGGCAGAAGAAAGGAATGTGAAGCTTAAGACACTACCTAAGATCATATTGACATAGTTTTTCCTTAAATACTATTTTGGCATATAATAAAATCAGACCTTCCAGCTACACCAGAGTCCAGGAAAGAAAAGACTTTAGACAGAGAAAAAAAAAAATCTAAAAAGGGTAATTATTTTAATAGCTGTCCTCGGGGAAAACACAGATAAGGGTGAAGCTGCCCCAAATTAACAATTAGGTAAATCCTGGGGATTATAGCACAGCAGGATTTAGTATTCCATTTCTAAACAGGGCACAATGCTGCCCAAAACTGAATGAATGTGATAGCAGCTATCTGTGATTTTGACCGATGTTCTTGTAGCTGTGAAAGTTTGACCTGAGCTGAAATGCTTCACTGATCAGCCCTTTCTGTGTCCTTGTCCCTGCAGCGCGAATTTGTCCAAGGCCGCCTGGGGAGCGTTAGAGAAGAATGGCACCCAGCTGATGATCCGTTCCTATGAGCTTGGGGTCCTTTTCCTGCCATCAGCATTTGTAAGTTCACATTTGAAACTGCCTGAGTGGTCACACGTGAAGCAGGTTGGGTTTTTATGTTCTCTTCTTTTGATCATGATGACCTGCCCGAGGGCAGGAGGTGGCAGGGCCAGGGTTCTAACCGAGAGCCTGTGCCCTCAACTGCTGGCCTGTGCTAACAGATATATTTAGCACTCACTGTTCTGGGTGCCATGAGATTGCTGCTCTCAGGAAGCACACCTGATGACAGATTGAAGATAATTGCGTTGGGTAAAGTTAATCACATGTTTCACAGGATTTAAATATTGTTAAGATTCATTACAAGATGGTAGTGACAGGTCACCAAAGGGATGAGTCAGCCAAGAGCAAGATGTTCCTTTGGAGGAGGTCTTTGGAAGCTAGAAGATTTAGTAGGGCGCGGGGGAGGGGGGTTGGTGGGGGAGGATGCTTCGAGTTTAGGCTAGGCAGAGAGGAGAGGGAAGGGCATCCCATGTTGGAAGTGGCATTAGCATAAGTCAGGAGGCAGGGACGCTCACAACGTCTGCTTGAGAAGGAGGTCAGAAGGTCATGGAGGCCCTGTGCGGTCAGACTCTCTGGTAAGCCCCCTAGAAACACACCACAATGGAAGCTGTGTCTCTTGAGGTGCCTAGCCCAGCCAGCTTGTCTCCCACCTTGGAACAGCTCTCGGTTTCTGCAGCTGAACGCCAGACAGTATGGCTGCTTTTCATGTCGGGACTGGCTATGCAGGCCTTCTGATTTCTAAACACTAAAACCCTCTTGGCCCAGAGAGACTTTCCCACTCTGAGGGGCACACAGACCCCAAGACCACCTATCTTGCCCCTCACATTCACTCACACATTTGGTGGAATGCAGTCAGAACTGCCCACACAATAAGATGGTTAATGCTTTTCTTTGCCTTTTTTCTTTTCTTCTCTCTTTTTTTTTCCCCCCACCTGCTATAGTTGAACTTATGATAACACACACATGATGCAGCTCCATTGTAAACCGCTTGGGCTAGACCAGAATATTTAAGGGAGTGCTGTGTACTTGTCCTCAGGCTTCAGTCCAGCCCATGTGACATGTAGGCATAGTCTGGAAGGTTCCAGAGAGCACACCACCACCACCACCACCACCCCAACCCCAGCCTGACAGTATTCTTCACTATCCCTCCCTTCTACACTCCAGTAAAAAGTCCTCTTCTCCCTCTCTGTCCTCCCTTCATCAGTCTTCATCCTTTTCTTCTCCAACTCAGAGTTTTGCTACAGAGCTAGCAAATAAGTTTCTCCTAAGTGTAATTATCATGAAATTCTAGCACATTTTGTTTTTTTTCTACAGAGTCAGAGCAGATTCTAACACTGCTTACAGCTGCTTCCCCCTTCATTTCCTTGGAGGTAGATGGTTCCCCCTTTGCTATAGACAAGGATGTGACTTTCCTAGGGTTCCACAGCTGAGTGGGCTCCAGCCCTCAAGCCACCATCTCTAACTGATCCCTCCTGTGATCTTTCAGCTTTATCACAGAAAAATAATAAATTCATAGCACTAGGGTAATAATGGTAATTTGGTGTGACTATAGTGACCATAGCTTTGAACTAAGGCCAGGATTATTTCCCAATAATAAGTGATAAATCCCATGTCTCTCTTGTTTGGCTTTGGTTGTCCATGTCTGCAGAATTCTGGACATTTCTAACTGTGCCGACTCGATTACTCATCATGAAAATGATAATACGAAAGACAACTTAAGGTCCTCTAGACCCTGCTTAGCTAATTTTTACTTCTGATTCTATTTCTGACTGTACGTTAGCAACCGCTAATAGAGGAAAAAATAGGCATAATCATTTAGAATCCCCAAATTAGACTCTTATATACTATTACAATAAGGAAGAGCCCCCATTATAGTACATTCTCGATAGATTAGGTTATTTATAAAGACTATCAGGCAAGAATATTAAAAATGTATTTCGCCCTCCTATGCTATGCTGATAGATTTAAGGGTGAGACTTCAAGCACGGTGACCGTGTAATTAACATAGTGACTGAAAAGTCAGTGTTTTGTCGAGCAGTCCGGGTTTCTTGGCCAGATCCTAGAACAGTGCTTTAAAGCAGGCTTCCTCTGTAACACTAATAAGGACCCAAAACCATCACTATCTTGTCAGACACCCAAAACTTTCACTATCTCGTCAGACATTCTCTTTTCTGGGTGGATTCTCTGTGTCCTTCACTGAACTATAAATTATTTGGGCAGGGTGCCAATATGAGACATGTGGACAAAACACAGAAGTATTTTATCTGGGACACCTGGGTGGCTCAGTGGGTTGAGCATCCAACTCTTGGTTTGGGCTCAGGTCATAATCTCAGAGTTGTGGGATCGAGCCCTGTGTAGGGATCTGCATTTGGCAGGGTATCTGTTTGGAATTCTCTCTCTTCCCCTCTGTCCCTCCTCACCTCTCTCTCTCTTTCTCTCTCTCTCAAAAAAAAATGTGTTTGACCTCGCCCTCCCAAGAAGCCTAGTAGTCAAGCTGAGCAAGAAGGTCATTCTAAAAAGGCACTTTCATTGAGAGATGTCTAGGTGCCAAGACCTGTGAGAGAAGTAACTGGCCTGAGTGAGCAGACCCCCAAGGGCTGAAAATGGGTATTCAGATCCTTTTCATTGCTCTTGACAGAAACTAACTTGAGCTTACATAAGCCCACAACAGAGCTGCTGAAAGGCATGTCATGGAATCAGTGGCACAGTGCGGAGGGCAGGGGGGAGGGGCAGAGCGGGCCACCCTGGGGCCCCGAGCAGTGCACCACCTGTCTGGGGGCTGCCACTGGTAACACCTCCATGGTGGCTTGTCCCCTCATTTGCCAGTTATTCCGCACTTAAAGACTGCTCAAGTTTGTCTGCTTTTACACCTCTGTACGGCCCTGCCCCTGTCCTGTAATAGTGGGCCTGTTTCCCAGACAAGGGCAGATTGTTGTGAGCTAGGAAGCCATCCCAGAGGTAGCCACTGCCTGAGGGTGTCACCCGTGAGTGAGTTGATGTGTGTTTTATCAGTCTGCATAAAACCGTGTCAGGAAAATTGCAACAGAGGAGACTGTCCTTAAGCTACTGTATCACTTACTGGTGTGTGAACCTTCTGGAAAACCAGTAGACCTTTGCTTGGTCTCTGCAGAATTCACAGAATTAACATATAAACATATAAACCATAAGGTTTTGATGCTGAGGGCAGCCTAAAGATCTTTGCTACGAGGTGATTTGTCATTTTGCTGAGGTAATTCGAACACAGTGAGACATTTAACTTGTGGAGGAGAGACTATGCAGCACAACTCCATAGCTCCCTCCTCAGAATGTCTCCCAGACTCATCACTGAACATTCTGGCCTGCCTGGAATGACCATGCAGTCACTCTGTTCAGCTCCACCAGCTCCCCAAGCCTCCAGTTCAGTAGCCCTGGGAGTGGGAGGAGGAATGAGATGGCATCTTCATTCTCATGAATTTCATGGATAAGGTCGGAAACAGATTATAGTATGTGATGAGAACTGTGGTGTAGGGGGTTCACAGTATAAGGACTCTGAGAAAAGGAGCATGTAGTCTGCCTAGGGGCCCAGGGAAGGCTTTTGTAAGGAGATGACTTTGACCTGGGTCTTGAAAAATGAGTTACGAGCTTAAACCCCCATCAACGGAGAAGAGGCTTCCAGCCAGAGAGAACAATGATGTTATATTTGAGGAACGGCAGGCCATTCCATGTGCCTAGGAAGGCGCTGGGATGTGGGCCATAGAATTTGAAGTTGGACTCCTGTTCCAAAGGAGACTGGCAAGCAGGACCCACTGGAATTATACTTTGTCCCATGTGGACAGTAGAAAATCACTAGTTTTTTAAGCAGGATTAATGATGTCATCGGGCCAATTTTTAAATAATTTGAAGCTTATAAGATACTTCTCCAATTATGATATAATTTAAGTTATATTATTCAAAAGGTACCTGAGGATAAGGGCCTTGTGAATCTCACCAAAATCCTCTTCATCACTTAAGACATACTATTATAAAAGTTTAATTAATGATTACTATTACTGTCATCCCACCGTCCTAGCTCAAAGTGTACAGTCATCTCTGGTGACATTTTTATACCCAAGTTTTGCTGCTTAATGCTGCTTGATAATCAGTCACCTCTGGCCATTCCTGCTGCCACTGTGTCGAGGGTGCGCATCTCCTGGTATGGGATCCTCCCACCATGCTTCCCAGGGCAGCCTCCAAGCTGCTCTGCACCCAGCTGCTGGAGTGTCTTTGTAGACCACACATCAGGTCGCATCACCCACCTTCAAATCTCGTAAGACAGAAGCCAGGCTCCTTAGCATGGCCTACTGTTCTCTTCATGCCCTGACTCCTGACTCCCCGAGCCTGACCACTTCTCTCTCTTTCCTGGCCCTCGTGTTCAGCCATACAGAATTTGTTCCTACTACAAGTCGAGCCCATCTGTGTTCTCCAGAGAAACAGAACCAATAGGATATATAGATATATACAGAGAAAGATTTATGATGAGGAATTGGCTCGCATGATTTTGGGGCTAGGAAGTTCTACCCTCTATCAGAGAGAGACCCAGGAGAGCTGGGGGTGTAATTCCAGCAGCTGTGGAGTCTGACGGTTTGAGGATTAGGAGAGTTGATGCTTTCAATCCCGATCTAAGTTTGGGAGAAGACCCATGTTCCAGCCAACAGAGAGCAAATTCACCCTTCTGCAGCTTTTTTGTTATAGTTAGGCCCTCAACAGATTGGGCGATGCCCACTTATAGTGGGTAGTCAGAGGCTGTCTGTTCTATTCAGTCCACTGACTCAAATGCTAATCTCATCCAGAAACACCCTCAGAGACCCCCCCCCCCCCCCCGTAAGTGACGTTTAACCAGTTATCTGGTATCCGATGGCCCGGTCAAGTGGATACCTAATAACCGTCTTGCCATCATTCATCAACCTTAATCTGTATCAGGAACAGCACCCCTACACCCCTAAACCCACCTGCCTCCCTGTCTCCGGTCTAGGTGCCCCTCC